GCTTCAATTTGCATACTAAACCTCAAAGAACGTTTCATAAATTTGTCAGAAAAGAAATTTTTAACTTATTGCATAATATTTTGTTAAGAATTCAAAGAATTTTTCAGAAAATTTTGCTTTGAAGTTGGATTCAGAGTTGTGCTAAAAAAATTTGAACAACTGGAGTCAGAGTTGTACTCACAAAATTTCAACAACTGGAGTCAGAGTGGTTACTTTGTTTTTATGACTCCACAACCCTGTTATGTATATAAACAACTTAAGGTTCTACACAAGAACTCTGATACCATTTCTTCACAAGTCTTTTGTAAAATAACTTGTTCAGACAATACCTATGTAATTTTAGGCATGATAGGTTCTGCCAAATTTATTCTTCATTTTTAGTGTGAATTGGTTATGATAAATTTATTATTCGTTTAGAAAAAAAATTATTACAAGAGGCATGTTACTGCATTTTCAAATAAACTGTGTGTCAGATGTGTAGCCCTTTATGTCAATTGTGTGTAAGGTGTGTAGTTCCATAATGTCAGTGTGTAGTGTTTTTTTTTTTTCTTTTTACTTGTTTGAATTTATTTAATGATAATAATTGTTGCAAGTGATAATAATTACTTAATAAATTTTTTTTTTAATGGCCAATTCACTGTAGAATTTTGCATAAAGATAATGTCCCAAATAATCAGAACAAGTTACATCGAAAAGATTTCTAAGTGAAGGACAGGGGTACTATAATTAAATTCATATTGATAAATAGATTTTAAGAAATTCTAGAAATTGTTTGTATTAAAGAAATTCTAACGTCAGGTCAGGTTTATCCTGCTACTGGTAACATGTAACCCAGTACAATCTGCTTTATGTCCTGCTGCCTTGTAGGATATGCCTTTTTAGGCAAATGCTAGGAGATGCAAACTCTGACATAAAACACCTCCTGACTTGGGGCTCTTGGTTGAGTAAAGGCTAGAGATGGTGTCTCTATAAAAATACTCATCTTGGGCAGATGTTACATGCATCCGGCTGCTGTCTTGTAGAAGGCCTCCTAGGCAAAGACTTAAGGGGTAAACAGATTCTATCTGTTGACCAGCCTCACACCCCTTCTTCATCTATTAGGCTGATGCAGATGTATTTTTAATACATTGTTTCCAGTTTAGGATGTTGAATGCTGGATCTTCTTGACTCGATTCATGGGTTTTGCTTGTGTCTCTGTTTTTATGACTAGACAACTCATTCTATTATCTCCAAATGAGGGTACAGCTCTAAACTCAGTTTTATGGTTCTGAGGCCGGCTAGTAGTCAGGTTTCCCGAACTCTGTGGTAGCTCTCAGAGAGGCTGATTCCATCAACAGCTCAAAAATATCAGAGTACTAACAGTGCCATGTTGCGCATGGATGGTGTCCCTGTTTTGCTTTTGGTGTGCATTGCCAAGGCCACATAGGAGCCCTTTGTTACAACTTAGGGTTTATTAGTGGAAATGAGACAAATGCTTGAGCTATAAAACTGTGTACTGAGTACAATCTATGTTTCGAGCAAGTTCTTTAACAAATTTAAAAATGAATAAAGTAACAAAAACTATAAAACACAAAAAACCACAGTCTGATGACTGTGGTTTTTTGTGTTTTATAGTTTTTGTTACTTTATTCATTTTATTCGTACTTACCAAGTTCGCTAAACTTATTCACCAATATTCGTGGTCTTCGAAGTAACTTTTCTTCTGTTGAATCTTATCTCTTGCAAAAGTTCACCAGACCTACTTTCTCTTTGTGAGACTAATTTGAGTTCAGCTGTCTCATCTTGTGATCTTAGTGTTGATGGTTATCTTCCTTTAATTCATAAAGACTCCAATAGTCACATACTTGGCCTGGGTATTTACATTCGTAAGAACTCACCCATTTGTCGGGAAACTAGGTTTGAATCCACAAACTACTCTTTTATGTGCTTTCGTTAAGCACCACTTCACTCTATCACCTTTATCTTTGTTCTATATCGCTCTCCCTCATCTCAAGACTGCACTCTAATTGATGTTATTTCTGATTATATTGACCCAGCCCTCATTCTTTATCCATCAGCCAATATTGTTGTTGTCGGTGACTTTAATGTTCATCACACTGAATGGCTTGGCTCTAGTGTCAGTGACTCTGCAGGCATTAAGACCCACAACTTTTGTCTTTCTCAATCCCTAACTCAAATAGTCAACTTTCCAACTCGCTTTCCAGACAACCTGAATCATTTACCTTCTCTATTCGACTTATGTCTTGTTTCTGATCCTAGTCAGTGCTCAGTTTCTTCACACTCACCCTTAGGTGCTTCTGATCATGGTATGGTCTCTCTAAAACTATTATCTGATTCTTCTTTACCATCAGAATCCCCCTATCATTGTACATATTACAACTACCTTAAAGCTGACTGGGACTCTTTCCGTGATTTTCTTCGTGATGGCCCCTGGGTAGAAATCTTTTGTCTCCCTGTTGACAAATGTGCTTCTTACATAACTTCGTGGATTCAGGCTGTCATGGAATCCTTTTATTCCCTCTCGACGATTCCAGGTCAAGCCTCACTCTTCTCCATGATTTTCCTCACATTGTGCTGCTGCAATTGCCAATCGAAACCATTACTTCCATATCTATCAGCAAAACAATTCTCCAGAAAACAGATGTCTGTTTATTACTGCTAGGAACCATTGTAAAAAAGTTTTGTCTAACGCCAAAGCCCGCTATTCTCAGATCATGAAATATTGTATTTCACAATATTTCATGATCTGAGAATTACAAAAATTAGGCTCTCGTGACTTCTGGAGAATCTTTAATAGTATTAATAATAAGGACAAGTCTGTAATTCCACCTCTTTTGTATGGTTCAGATTTTGTCACCTCACCTAAAGACAAAGCTGAATTGTTTGCCAAGAACTTTTCATCAATATCATCTCTTGATGCCACTAGTTGCGTTCTACCTGATATAGCCGTCAAACAGGTTGATCCATTGCTCGACATCCGTATCACTCCAGCTTCTGTATCTAAAGTGATTTCCCGCTTAGACTCCTCTACAGCTTGTGGCCCGGACAACATACCTATTATAGTCTTGCAGAAGTGTTCTCCGGCGCTGTCGTCTATCCTTTCAAAACTATTTAACAAGTGCTTATCAGAGTCTTGTTTTCCAGCCTGCTGGAAAGCAGCATCCGTTATCCTTATTTGTTAAAATTCTGGAGAGCGATCTGATTCATCTAACTACCGTCCCATTAGTCTTCTTCCTGTCATAAGCAAGGTTTTTGAATCTTTAATTAACAAACACTATACTCTCATCTCGAATCTCATAACCTACTTTCTGATTATCAATATGGATTTCGATCTTCTCTTTCTACGGCTGATTGGCTAACAGTAATAACCGATAGGTTTTATCATGCATTAGATAAAGGTGAAGAGGTTAAGGCCATTGCTCTTGACATTTCTAAAGCGTTTAAAGTTTGGCATGCTGGTCTCCTCCATAAGCTTTCTTCTTACGGTGTATCTGGAAACATCTTCAAGATTTTTGAATCCTTTCTTTCCAATCGTAGTATAAAAGTTGTCCTTGATGGACAGCATTCTCCTTTTTATTCTGTAACCTCAGGGGTTCCCCAAGGTTCAATCCTTGCCCCTATACTCTTTTTAATTTACATTAATGATCTTCCAGATATTCTCACATCTAAGGTGGCATTGTTCGCTGATGATATTACCATTTATTCATGTCACGATAAGAAGCCAACTCCCTCCGATTGCTTGCAGGGGGCATCTGAGCTTGAAAAGGATCTCACTTCTGCTACAGCATGGGGCTCACAGTGGCTTGTGAACTTTTGTTCAGATAAAACTCAATTTTTTTTGGCCAATCGTTATCGCAATAATTTAGACCTTCCTATATTTATGAACGGTAATGTACTCGATGAGTCTCCTACCCTTCATCTTCTAGGATTAACTCTTACTTCTGATCTTTCTTGGAAATTTTATATCAAATCTGTTGCAAAATTAGCATCTGCTAAAGTTGCTTCTCTTTATCGAGCTCGTCACTTTCTTACTCTGGATTTTATTCTCTATCTCTATAAATCTCAAATCCGGCCTTTTATGGAATACTGTTGCCATATCTGGGGCAGATCTTCTAATGATGTCCTTTCTTTTTTAGGCAAGGTGCAAAAACAAATTGTAAATACAGTTGGACCTGATCTCGGAGCAAACCTCTAACCATTATCACATCGCCATAATGTTGCTTCTCTTTTTCTTTTCTACAAATACTATAATGGGCACTGCTCTGAAGAGCTAGCGTCTCTTTTGCCATCTACTAAAATTCATTCTTGTGTTACTCGTCATTCAATTAAGTCTCATCCTTTTTGTATTACTGTTCCTAAGTGATCCAAAAATTCTTATTCGTCTAGTTTTTTTCCTCAAACTTCAGTTCTTTAGAATTCGCTTCCTTCATTTTGCTTTCCTGATTCATATAATTTGCAATCTTTTAAGTCGTCTATCAATCGTTATCTTGCTCAACAATCTTCATCTTTTCTCTTCCAGTAACTTCCAACACTAATAGTGGTTGCTTGCAGCCTTGTTGGAAGCAAAGATAATTTAAAAAAAAAAAAAAAAATTATGAGAATTGTACAACTTATTTAAGCCTGGAAACAATATTGCTAAAATTTTGATGATATCATTTTTATTCATAACTATGATACTCTATATATAATTGCCGACCTCATTTCTATGTTTTATGGTAAGACCTTTGTATTAAGTTTTTCTTGTCGACCTGATGTCGGCCTCTTAAAGATTGAGGTCGGCAAATTTTTGCCGCTCTCATTTTTTCTAATTCTAAGTGTTGATGATTTCATTAATAACAAAAAAATGTTGTTTGCTTCAATTTATATTATTAATATACAATAGTTAATAAATAATATAAAAGGTCTAAAGTTGTAACAAATTTTTTTTGTTAATTGTTAAATAATTTTTTGAAATATCTTTTGACTTTTATTTACATTGTGACTAAAATTTTATGTTTTAGATATCAAACTAAACCTAAGATGACCATTCATGGGGATTTGTATTACGAGGTAGATTATTTTAGGTTTTTTTATTTCACTAATTCACAAATGATTAAATTTTTCTAAATAGTTTAATAATCAGTGAATAATTGCATTATAATTTTAGATCATGATAGTTATATATAGTATATGATAATATAAATTAATTTTAAAATTTAAGTTTTTTTTTAAAAAAAAAGCCTAAAATTAAAACTTTATAAAAATTAAAAAAGTAAAGGTACACTTGTAGCTTTTTATAAAATTATACAATTAAAAAAGCTATTGTCAAACATAGGCCAATCTGTATTTTGAATCATATTTTTTGGTTATAAATTTTGGTTATAAAATATAAATTCCAAGTCTAAGTAAAAATAGGAGCTCTGAAACATGAAGTGCACTTATTATCACTAAAATCTAGAATCGACTTATCTTCACTGAAACCTAGATTCCACTTATCTTACTGAAACTTAGAACACACTTATCTTTATTGAAACTTAGAATCCACTCATCTTTACTGAAGCCTAGACTTAACTTATCTTTACTGAAACTTAGAACCCACTTATCTTTATTGAAACCTAGAATCCACTTATCTTCACTGAAACTTAGAATCCACTTATCTTCACTGAAACCTAGACTCAACTTATCTTTACTAAAACCTAGACTCCATTATCTTTATTGATTATCTTTATTGAAACCTAGACTCAACTTATCTTTACTAAAACCTATACTTCACTTATCTTTACAGAAACTATCAACTCTACTTATCTTTACTGAAACCTAGACTCCATATATCTTTATCGAAAACTAGGTCCACATATTTTTACTGAAACCAATCCACTTATCTATACTGAAAACTAGGCTCCTTATATTTTTACTGAAACCTAGACTCAACTTTTCTTCGCTGAAACCTAGACTCCACTTATCTTTACTGGTTTCTTGTAAGTTATAATTTTTTTTTTACATAAACAGGATGACTTTGTGTAACTAAAAAAATATATTAAGGATGAAATTGATGTGTTGTAATGTTTTTATAGGGTAAGGAATTTGAAATAAAACTAAAAGAGAAGAAACCAGGTGATCTTTCCGATGAGTTACGTACAGCTCTTGGTATGCCAGTTGGTCAGGTAAGTTTGAGTTTTAAAAATTTTTTTGCTTTACAAAAGATGATCTAATAGTGTTAAAATAAAATTTAAAAAAATATAATTATTAAAAAACTTATTAAAATGTATGCAAATGATTTATACTATAATGTATACCCATGCTGCATATGATTTATACTATAATATGTATTTATACATATACCATGACTAAATGTAAATTAAACAATACAAGCAACTCTATTAAACCATATGAAGTAACTATAAAACGAGAAACCGCATCATACTAGTAGGTAAAAAAAAAAATATCTTTACTTATAAATTATAATTTTTTACTAAATCACAAATATTTTTTGTGATTTAATAAAAAGTTATACAAATATTTGGTTTTCTGATTGTAGTAAAAAAATACTTAAATCTTTAAAAAAAAAAAATAAATAAAAAACGTTATCTTAAGAAGATATTGCGATAACAACATATACCAAAACTGTTATGAATTAACGCGCATGGAATAAATTATCATGTCTGTAGATTGTGGCTAACAATACAGACCCTGAGAACCAAAAAAAAAATAAGGCAAGCTTCGACCAAAAACAATCATTTTAGTTTTGTTGGTATGCATTCATTATTTAGTTTCAAACAAAAAAATTCAGCCCAAATGTTTTTTTTTTAAACATTTTTTTTAATATGAACACAACTTGTCTTGGCAGTTGGAGATCCCTTTAAGAAAGACATAGAAAAATAGTTTTAAACATTTACATTTATCATAAAAAATACATACCTACTAAAAAAAATAAATTAATTGTAACATTTAATTTACACATAATGCATTTATTTTAAATGATCATTATAATAAATTTTTATTTTATTTATAGTCTTCGCGTAAAATAAAAATTAAAATAAAAAAAAGAGATTAATGTTTAAAAGTTATTCGTAACATTATGATTTTTTTGAAAAAAAAAAAAAAAGTGTCATTATTTAAAGCATGAAAACTTGTCTATCTAAAAAAACATACAGTATTAAATTGAAACTATTTTAAGATAATAATATAATAACTATAAGAAAAAAAACTTCACTAGACTAAAGTTAAATAAACTGAATAACATGACAAAGATTTTGATAGCATAACTCGGTTCCATAAAACCAAAAAAATTATATTTTAATAGTTTGATTGGACACTGTCTGACCTAAACAAGTTTTGATCGGACAACTTGTCCAGGATTTTTTAAAAAATAAATTGAGCCCTTAATATACATATATATGTATACAGTCTTCTCTGTTTAGCCAGTACTTTTGGGCTTAAGTCTTTTCGCGCTCCCCCACATGCCAGGAAAAACTTTAGCGAGTGCATAAAAAAGCGCTCGTCCTAGCCCAGACTCCCCTAAAACAGTTTACGGGAGCAATTTATGGCTCTCACAAGTATATAATTTTTTCTCAAAAATATAATTATCATTGAAACTAAAATAAAAAACAGTCATTTTAATAATTATTTTTAATAATTCTTAAAATGCCTGCATTCTATTACAATAAGAAAATATAAATTTTTTTTATAAGCAGTAAAAACAACACTCCTTTAAAGAATTTTTTCATGCTGCAATAAATGAGACTTGTTATGTATATATTCTTTTAAAATGTATATATTCTTGTAAAATTAACTTAACAAACATGCTTGACTTGATGCGATGAATCTACAAATGTGCAAAAAAAAATGACAGAAAAATAAACATGTTTCTAAATTTTTGCATAGGATATGCTTAAAATTTTTAAAAACACTTGCTTTACTTCAGTAATTTTTTTTTCCATAAAAAGTATATATATATATATATATATATATATATATATATATATATATATATATATATATATATATATATATATATATATATATATATATATATATATATATATATATTTTATATTTTTTCCAATAATTATAATATATATATATATATATATATATTATATATATATATTTAAATATACATATAAATTTATATATGCATATATATATATATACATATATATATGTATATATACATGAATATATATACATATATATATATATATATATATATATATATGTATATATATATATATATACATATATATACATATATATTTAAATATATATATATATATATATACATATATATATATATATCCTTATAGTGTAGTCGAAAGAGCCGTTTAATGTAAAAAAAGTCTCTTTCGACTACAATTTTAATTACCTCGTCTCTTAAGCTGTTTTTGATTGTCATCGAAATGTCAAAGCAATTAATTTATGCGGAAGTACATTAAATTTAATTGTTTTTTAAAAAATTTTTAAAAAACCGCAATTATAACGACTAGAAAGTTTTTTTTAATTAGTGGTGTTTTTGTTATTGATTTAATAAAAAACATTTTTAAAACATGCGTAAATGTTGCTACATCGACTATCTTATAGCCTGACTCGCAACGGAGTGCTGCTACATCGACTGACAAATAGCCTGACTCGCAATGGAGTGCTGCTACAACGACTGACAAATAGCCTGACTTGCAAGAGAGTGCTGCTACATCGACTGAGGGTTTGGTTTGGCCAGGCAGTCTATCAATTAAAAAAAAAAGTTTAATTTCTAAAACTTTTTCTGGTCTGGTTTATTAACACGCTCTTTAAAACTACAGTTTATGGGAAACTTTTTTTGCCATGCAAGAGACATGCAAGAGTATATATATATATATATATATATATATATATATATATATATATATATATATATATATATATATATATATATTGTTATTGTATTTTACAAATAGAGTGCTCAATGTTCTTAAAGAACAGAGCAATAATAAGTTAGATAAGTTTTTCTAAAAACACTTATCTAATTTTTGTCTTCAACAACTTGTTTTGCCATCAGTAGGTTCATCGGTATGTTCATCAGTAGGTTCATTTCCTGATGAAACTACTGATGTTGAAAAATGTTGTTGAAGACAAAAGTTAGATAAGTGTTTTTACTTGTTAGATAAGTGTTTTTACTGCTAAACATCAGCTTTATTTAGTTATTAAATTGCTTCAAAATTTACTCTTTGATTATATTTTGGAAGTTAATCAAACAGATTTGCGTTTTTCTAAATCATATAAAAGTATACTAAAAATAATGGAAAATTTTATTAAAAATTTAAAAAAGAACTTTTATAATCATATTCAAAAACATGATCGCTTTGAAATTGAAGAAGCAAATTGGCTTGAATCAGTTCTACTTATTCTAGAAAAATTAGAAGAACATTCTATTAAGTCAACTAAGTGAAAATTAGAAGAACATTCTATTGAGTCACTTTGATATGTTAAACTTGAGTTTAACATATCAAAGTGAAAAGAAAACACCTGGAAGTCTTGAATAAAAAAAATCAAGCTAAAGAACAAAAAGAAGAAAGAATGAAAAAATGGGAAAAAACCATACTTATGATGAGTTGATCTTATTTGCTATAGTAAGTTCAAGGAGAAGTCAATGCTATAGTCTGTGTTTTACTTTAAATCAATTGGTTTTTTCTCCCATTCAACCTAATAAAGTAGCTAATATAATTAAAAATGAAAGGGCCTATTATAATATCTCCAAAAAATGCTTTGGCCTTGATGGTCTCTGCTGGTTTGTCACAAAGAGCTTATCTATTGACAGTAAGACTGCCAATGCAATATGCTCAATTTCTTCACAACAATATTGCAGTATATGTTCAGCTTCTATTATAGGCATAGATAAAGAATTAATAGAACGTTTAGCAAACATTTTGAACATAGTAAATTTAATTTATGAGATAGGTACAATAAAATTCAGTGAATATTGCATTATTTATTATGAAAAATTTATTTTGTTTTATATGCCTGTACCTATGCATAAGTTATTGCTTCACAGTTCTGAAATAATCTCAAAGTTCTTGTTGCCAATTTGATTGTATTTAGAAGAAGCTCAAGAATCTAGAAATTGACAGTTTTTAACCCTTTTTATAAATATTTTGAATCTTCTTTTCTTGTCTACACTATTTTACATCTTAGAGTACATTTTATGCAACTTTGGATAAATATTTTTGACAAAATTAATTTCGGCCAAATTTTAAGTTATTCCTGATCACTGTGCAATGCGCTATATCCATGTAAGCACAAAACGTGTTAAACATATCCAAACGTATTAATACGTATTTTGGACGTTTTAAATATGTCTTGTGCTTGTACTGGATGAATGTTCTCATAATTAGGCAAATAGTGCGAATCACAAATCATAACTAATTAGAAATGCTTTTTTATCATAGTAGTTTTTATTAATTTTTATTTCAATATTCTTTTCAGGGAAAACATTTAATTCCTCCACCATGGCTAATTGCTATGCAACGGTATGGACCACCACCTTCTTATCCTAACCTAAAAATACCTGGTTTAAATGCTGCTATTCCTGATGTACGTTTTTATTATAAATTTTTCCTTTTTTTTCTATTGAAAGATCTTTATTTTTTTTTTAATATTAGTTTATTCGGCTTCATTTAATTTTTTTTTTTTTTTAGGGTGCTTCGTTTGGATATCATGCTGGTGGATGGGGAAAACCTCCAGTTGATGAGATGGGTAAACCTCTTTATGGTGATGTTTTTGGAACGCACAGTGAAGAAATATCCGCAATAGCAGAAAACGAAGTGTTTGATAAGACACAATGGGGCGAATTAGAGTCTGAGTCTGAATCTGAAGAAGAATCCGAAGAAGAAGAAGAGGAAGAAGATCAAACTGGTGTTGTTACTCCAGGCGATGTGTATGCATTTTTCATTACTTTTTAAAAGTACTCACCTAAAAATTAGTATAATTATTATATTTATGTTTAATTTTACAAATATAGAGGACTTGTTACACCAAGCGGATTGTCGTCAGTGGGCGCAGGTATGGAAACACCTGATGCAATAGAATTGCGAAAACGTAAAGAAATAGAAGATGCTATGGAAACAGGAGGAGATACTCCTGCATTATATACTGTTCTTGCAGAAAAGAGAGCGCAAGTAGGAAGTGCTCTCATGGGTTCAGCTCATACATATGATTTGGTTACTACTAAAAAAACTGAAGGTGTAGAAATAACCTTAGATCCAAGTGAATTAGAACTTGAACCAGCTGCAATGGCGGCTAAGTATGATGATTCCATAAAAGAAAGAGAAGCGCTGCGAGAAGATTTGAGTGATATGGTTGCTGAACATGCTGCAAAAAAAGTAAAATTTTATTCAAATTTTGTTTTATCATTTTTTGTTTGTATTTTTTGTTTGTATTATTTGAAATATTGTCTGTGTTTTTAGAAAAGAAAGAAACCTTCTGATTCCGGCAAGAACGCTAAAAAATATAAAGACTTCAAATTTTAATCGAGATATATTAGTTTCCAGACTCATATTACCGCCATTATTTGCAAAATATCTTCGTTTGACTGGAGAGAATGAGGATAACGAAGTTATTTATCGGCTTATTTCGAAACTGTTTCTCATATTTTATAAGTTCTAGTATCTTTTTTAGTATTAAAAGGTTTCAAAGAGCTAGAATAAACGAACAGTCAGGTCAGGGTTAGAATAAATTATTAAACAACTTCGATTTTGATCGTTTTTATTTTGTTTATATCAAATTCTTTCAATGTAATTCTAACGATCAGAAAAGCTATATTTAACAAAAAAAGTTCTTGTTCTTTTTTTTGATCGAATTATATATTATTTACACTTAAGAATATAAAATATAAGCTCGAAATAAGTTATTCCATTAAGTCTGATTAATGCTTTCAATATCTGATTTATGCATTCTCTTATATGTAGAGATATGAAGATATGCGTGCGTGTGTGTGTGTTGAATTTATAAGTTTTTATAAGTTACAGAAGAAAATGTTTGTTATATTTTTGTAACTTGACTGAAAATCAAACAAAATTTTTAAAAAATTGTTTTACAACATGAATTAATATTTCATTCTGAATTCATAGCGTTAACTAATTAAATTTGGAAAATTTTAGCCTCATTTATTTTCGCCTCACAATAAAATGCCTGGTCTAGCACGTGTAGACTTCATAAAAAACCTAATTTCGAACTTTTTATTGGTTTTTCTTCTGTACAAAAGGTTATTAACAATAAATAAGATAATCCTTTATGTTTACAACAATTTAAATTGGTCTCTTTAATTCCCTCTTAAAATTTACTTTTAAAAAAGATAAAATACGCTCTCGTCCAAATTAAACTCAACTATCTTAAACACAAATTTAATTCAAGTCAATTCAAAACAGTATTTTCTAAAAATAGTTTAAACATTTTGCATGAATCTAGTAAAACAAATATAACGCTAAACCTTGTAAAATCCGACTGAAAACCATCGATAAAGGTAGGAAAAAAGTGTTTAGAAGATATAAATCCTATATCCTTGTATATCTACATTTAAAAACCTTCGAAAAAGTGTTAAAAAGATATCCGGCAAACATTCTGTAGCGAAATCTTAGTGAACCTACATAAGCAGGGTCGAAGAGGTCTCTCATGGGGGTGGGGGGCTAAAGTATGTATTTTTTGTAACTAGAGGCACACAAAAAAAAGATCCTCGGTATTGAACATTTTGTGACGTTAGAATAATAGGGTTCTATCTCCCTTTTGTACTGTTAAGAGAATTTAAAAAATTTGTTATGCTCTCTTCAATTTCAAAATTAAAAGAGAAAATTTCATTAAATTAAAGGATCAAAATATCAAATTTGTTCAACTTATTGTTTAGAGTACTCCAAGAGGACACTAAATAAAAGTGTACTCTAAGAGTACACTAAACAAAAGTGTACTAGAGTGCACTATATAATTATAAATATTAATCTTTTTATTATTATTTATATAACTTTAAAAATTGTTAGTTTTTGTTTTTTCATTGTCAATTTCAACCTTATTTAAAGTTGAAATTAACAATTTGTTGTCAAACAATTTTAAAAATTATGAAACTAATAATGTAAGGTTAATTATAAGACAAATAACATAAAAAACATATTTTATCAATATAAATAACAACAACTGAAAAACATTTAAATAATTAAAAATCAAAAGTTAAATTCTCACAACGTTATGGAGATATAACCTTATTATTCTCACGACAAGATTTGCCAACTATAGTTCAAAACTTGCCAAATCAAATGTTAAATGTTCAAAAGCAAATGTGCCAAAAATCAAATGAATATATAAAAGAGGGTGGGACACCCCACCACTTTTGGGACGGCCCTGTATATAAGCATTTTGAGCGTTTCGTCGTACTTACGCTCATTGGTTACTTAGTGAATCATTTGTTGCAGCCGTCAAAGTGGCCAGCCAATGACTTGCCACTATATCACATTAAAATGTTATCGGCCGGCCGCTTATATCGGATGCCACTAATAGTCCAATTTGTATTCGATGAACAAAACTCCGATGTTTCCACAAAAACGTCTAGTAGTACCTTTGCAAATCCTCTACAAATATGTTTGCTGGATATATATTCTGAATCATATGTGATTGAAATATGTAAAGGTTCTCAAATAAAAAGTTTCCTCAAGACATTGTCATGATAGTTATTTCAATAAAAAATGCCGACGCGCCACACAACGATAAGTTTCTAATTAAATCAGTAAAGAATACATAATTCAAAGGAAATTTAGAAATAAATAATTACTCTCCTGAAATAAGTTTGTTTAAAAACCTGATACAAAACTTTTGAATTGAACAAAAGTAGCCGAGTTGCTAAAATTTGAACTCACTGGTTTTGCGTATTGTGAAGATAGATTTAACTATCCAGCTGTTACAAAATTTACAAAACTCTTGATAATATATATATATATATATATATATATATATATATATATATATATATATATATATATATATTATATATATATATATATATATATATATATATATATATATATATATATATATATATAAATATAGGTTGTAAATATATATTATATAGCCACAATGCAGGCTTTCAATTTCAATTTCGAAGGTAAAAAAGTACATAAATATAAACCTTGTTCCGCCCGGATTTTATTAAAAATTCAGGCAAATCCTGTTACGACCGGAATTCAAAATTACCATTCCCGTACACTAAACTAATTTTACTGTTTAAGAACTCATTAGTGATCAATATGACTAAAGTGATTAATAATGCAGTGGCACTTTCTAGTGGGTTTCTTAATTACCGGAATGTGAACATTCTGGAAGATGTAGTATCATTTTTTTTTTGGTCATACTTAAGCAAATTAAAAATAAAATTGGCCGCGAGGTACACGCTGTTCTTCATATGGTTTTTAATAATCTTTTTTTACTAATCTTCAAACAGTTTAATTGTTCTGGGGTGGTCTGTGTGTAGCGTAGATAAAAAAAACATTTTTTCATTCTTTACAATTTCAATGCGCCTATGGTTGAGCATAACTTCTTTTTACGTTTATTTAGCAATGAGTTTTTTAAAAGTTGTACTAACTGTCCACCTGTCTTCTCAGAGTTGTCAAACCCACCTGACTTTTTAGAGTCTCTAAACTGATGAATTGCTTTATAATTTTGTAATTTATCAATTAGTTGGATGGTGTTAAGGCCAAGTGGACTAACCTCAATTTACAAAATTATTCAGGAGACATTTTTTAAAAATAATTATAAACTTTATTTAATAACAAAAAAATAAAAATAAAAGTAACTTTTTTTTATATTTGAATATGCTATATTTTTCTATACAATGTTCATATATCCGAAGATATTGTTGGCTTAGCAAAGGAACAGCCACAAATAGTCATCCAAAGTAGCGTCCGTTATTGACCAACATTTTTTAATAACGATCTATGTTGTTGATGGCTTAGTCCACTTGGTTATAAATAAAAAATAGTCTTATTAATGCTGAAACTTAATAATAATAAAAACCGAAAATTGAAGGGTTCACTTGGCCATCCACTTATTTGCGTTTCTAAATAAGGACATAACATTTAAGGATATTTACTAATAATAAAATAACTGATATTAAGTAAATAATAAATGATAAAATTTATAACAAGGGTAATTACACTACAAAAATATAATAACAATAGCAACACCTTCACTCGTAACTTTAGTTTTGCATCAAATATATCATAAATCATTTACAATTACCATCACCACTCTACTTTTTTTTGTAACCGTTTATTCTGAAAGAACGTTTAAATTTTGTAACAACACCATCCAACTCTATTGCCCCAGCACTTTCTTTAATGTTAATAATACAATTATGTGAAGACTGAAAAGTTCTTTAGGTATGAGATTCCTTTTTCGACTCCCAATCTTTTCAACCTTGAATCTTTCTTGGACAGCGTTTTAGAACCGACATAATATCTGTTAGAAAATGTGTCACCACACCATTTAGAGATAAATACCCATGTTTTTCTTTTTTTAAATATTATGAAAATAAATTCAAAGTTTTTGGTATGTCCATAACTAAAAAACATTTTCATATTAGTAAGGTTTTTGCCAATTTTTCAAAATGCCGCTGCTGCTCTAATGTTTCCATCATAATATTTTTAACTTTAGTTATAGATAATGATATACGATTTTTTATTATTTGAGAGATAAAATACTTTTTTTTTTTAAATTTAATTTGTTATTTAGGTGTCCCAAGAAATCCTAACGGTCTTGTCACAACGCACCGTAGAAGTGCATTTAACCAGGAAGTTCACGCCTCCTTCCTTACTGTGACGCGAAATATGTCCAAAGCTCGTTTCGAACCTGGATCTCCTGCTTATAAAGCAAGCGCTCTAACCACTGCGCCACGGCTGCACTACGTTGACCACTCACATCTCGAGCATCATTTTGACCAATCACATCTCGGACATCACTTTGACAACTCACATTAAAGTGATACTCGAGTATCACTTTAACTAATTCTGACATCTTTAACAAAATTTGTTAGTGATTAATTGCTCATTTCATATTCATTTAATGAAGATGAAAAAAACAATTAATCACTGCTACAAATGATGAAAAGCTCATTTGGTTAAAGCGTTAGACAAAAAGTTAAAACCGGGCTGTTGTGCGATACGAATTTTCGCCAACTCAGAGTAATACTTCGGTCGCAAAAATGTTGGTCAATAATGGACGCTACTTTGGATAAGTCTTAATGACTTTTTGTGGCTGTTCTTATGCAAAGCTAACAATATCTTTGGATATAAAAGGTATTGTATAGAAAAATATAGCATAAAAAATCAAATTAAAAAAAAAGAAATTTATTTTTATGTCTACAATTAAAAACAATCTCGCCTTTTGGGTAAAAAGTCGATAAAAAGAACTCAAAATATCATTCAAATTTTCATTCTCTTAATTCAGTGAAAATTAAAAAATAGTACAATCACACACTAAATAAAGTGCTACCCATTACCACTAAAACAGTAATTAAAATTGACACTGAACAACTAATAAAAACGAAGAGTAATACGATAAAAAACCGAAGAATAAACAAGTTGTTTATGCTATAATAAATTACAAAAAGTTAGTTATAACTGATTAATGTATAATTTGTAACATTCAGTGCAATTTCTATCCGCCATTTTTATGCTTTTTTTTAACTCGATTTCACTCTAATATTCTTCGTTCTACATAAACTAACTCTTAATCCGTCTAAAGAGGTTATAATGCCCTTTGGTGAGCTGAACTCGTCTTTGTTGGCCTTGGTATGTGGCCTTTATATGGCAATTAGCTGAAGGAAGATAAACCACAATGCCGTAAATTACAATAAGTTAACAAAATTCTTTCTTATCTACTTGAATTTGTTCAAGTTAACAAAAACATTAGGTTTTTATTTTTATAATTTTTTTAACGTCTTCATTTTTAACCAGCTGAAAGCAACCACTATTATAGTTGGAAGTTACTGGAAGAGAAAACATGAAGATTATAAAACAAGATAACGATTAACAGACGACTTAAAAGATTACAAGTTTTATGAATAGGGAAAATAAGAAAAAGGGAGCGAATTTCAAAGAACCTCGACAAAAAAAAACTAGATGAATAAGAATTTTTGGAGCACAAAGGTACAGTTAATTGAATAAGAGACTTAATTGAATGACAAGAAATACGAGAATGAATTTTAGTAAACACTATCTCTGTAGAGCAGTGCCCATTATAGTATTTATAGAAATAAGAAAGATAAGCAATATTACAACGATGTGAAGATTCGCTCTAGATATGGCAACAGCATTTCATTCTAACTGTATTATCAGCGTAAAATGCCACCTTCTATGTGAGAATTTCTTGGAGATTGTTAATGTAAATTAAAAAAAGTATGGGCCAAGGATAGAACCCCAGAAGTTACAGAATATGAAAAAGAGTACAGTTCATCGAGGGCAAATTTTATTCAATAGGATTCAATAGCCTTAAAGATGTTACCTGATACACCTTAAGAAGATTTACAAAAAAAAAAAAAAAACATTTAATAATTTAAGTAACTTTTTATAAATTTTTATATAAACAATGTTATAATAAAATGGTGAAAAAACATACATGAGATTACATCTAGAAAATGAAAAAGGACTTTGTTTCAGAGCTTACATTTTGGCTAATTCAATGTAGCACAAATGCCGATTTTTACGGGATTGCATTAAAAGTTTTCATTTCGGACTATTACAAAAGTTAACAAAGTAAAAGGTTTTAATATTTTGTTAATATCACCTTATTTCTTTTTGCATTAGTTAATTCAAAAAAGTAATTATAATAATAATAATAAAAAAACATTCATCAATACCTCGACACATATAGCAAAAAAAAAAATAAAAATAAAATAAAAAGTACCGACTGGCATCTAAAAAAAAAAGGTCCTCAAAACCGAAATTCACCCGACTTATGAATGTGTCAAATACCTGACTATAACTTAAAAATCGCCTTCATTGGGGTAAAATTGCCCCCGAATATTATTAAGAATAGAATTAAACTCTGACAGCAAATTGATATTTTAACAAAAAAATTTGCAACTTAAAATCGATCCAGCATAAGAAAGCACAAATAAATTTGACGCGATGATCTACAATATAGCGCTGTTCTTATTTAAATTTATTTTTGTAATTTGATGTAAGTTGTAAAGGAAGATGTAAGCAGTAAAAATTAATTGCCTTTAATTCCCAATTTTTTTAGATAGTTCCGTATTGTTTTTATACATATTATTGTTAAATGATGATTGGAACAAAAAAGCCCTAAAATTTTAAACTTTGAGATATATTCAATATTATATATATATATATATATATATATATATATATATATATATATATATATATATATATATATATATATATATATATATATATTTATAAATTTAAAAAACATAATCCTAATTAATATAATATATACATGTTTTTTTTGTGTGCTTAAAATCGATTGTTTAAAAAAAATCGAGCGATCTTCAAGCGATTATGACAAAAAACAAATATTTTTATAAAAAGAATTAAAAAAAGTAAATTTTACTAACACTAAATGTGTTTAAAACTGACTTTAATCAGAATGTAATTTATTGGTTAAGTTTATGCATGACTTTTTTTTTAATATACTGGTATTTATAAAAAAGCTATTCCTAAGCAAAGCTGCTCGATATAAAGCTGCTAAATTCAATGCACGCTTTGCGAAGAGCATTTTTTTATTTGTTTACGTCTCGTGTTCTATTGTGAAATTCTAAGCAAGTTCCAACACTGCATTTTTAGCTTTATATAAAACAGGGGGTTATTTTAAGTTCAATCCCTCATTTCTTAAATAAGTTTCATTTAATTCTTAAGTAAAACTAATTTTTTTAATAACATAATTTTTTTTTTAAAGGTATTTATTTGTTATAATTTTATTTCATTCAAATAAAGTAATTAATTCTACAACTCTATTACAATTACTTTACCCAATACAGATTTGAAAGAACTCAAAATTTGGTTTTCCACCGTTATTAAAAATGGCTGAGATATAAACGAATTATCAGATAATGCGTTAGTAAAGATTTCACGATAAATATCCTCTAAGAAATTTTTTATTTTTATTATTTTAAATGCATTTTATATAATTAAAATGACTCGTCTACAGGAAAAACTGTTATCGTGCGAATGTCGAAAAACAAAAAGGAAGCAAAGCGACTTAGTCACCACATCAAAAGTGTACCAAACTAGGTCGGAACATTTACGAAGACGCGGAAAGTTATTTAACAAAGATAAAATACGTCGACGCTTGAATTCTTATAATAGCTTTGCCAAATTTCAAAGAAATGGTTTTTATCACAAGATGGAAACATCTATTATAATACAAGTACCTCATAAAGAAAGAAAATTTATGTTAAATGATGTTTTACCTTCAACAAAATTCGTAGGAGATAATGTAGTTGGACCAAACACCCGAACATTAATCGAAAACACTTTAGATAATTTTTTGTCTTCTGAGATAAAAAAGAGTAAAGTGCAGACAAACTTTTTAAAAACAAACTCAAATTTAAAAGAACTTTCTCCTCGTTCAAAAAACATTGTATCTAATGATTTTTTTTCTCCTTATAATGGGGAAAAGACAAATTGTGATTTCGAAAATGATGTATTCAAATCGGTTCTGAAGAGTGTTAATATTGAGGGAAAAAATGAAAATTTTGATAAATCAAAAAAAATAATAACTGATGAGATATTAAAATGTGAACTTTTTCAGACTGATGCAACTGATTTTAAAATAGAAGGTGTTCTACAAAATTTTAAAAATGATCATATAAGAGAAAACTTAAAAAGTGAAAACCAAAAATCTGAATTTGTAATGCATTTACATTCACATGAAGAACCAAAAATATTAGAGTTAGAAAAAAAAAATAAAGGAGTAAACAGAGATTTAAAGAGGAAACTAAAATGTGATGAAAAACTTCAATATAATGGTAACTTAGAAACTAGCATAACTGATGGTGTTAATTTACTTAAAAAAAAACGTGGTAGGAAGCCGAAACAGCGTGGTCCATTTCTGCATTACTTGGATATTTATGTTAAAAATAAAGCAAAATATACAAACAATGATTACCTTAAAAATATGTCATATAAAAAATCAACTGATTTGAACATGGAATATCAACTAAATAAAAATTTTTTAGTTGAACCACAAACACAGTTGTCTTTAAAAAATCTTAAACCGCATGAAGATGAGGGAAAAGAACTGCAAAAAAAGAATTGTTGTCATACTTTTGAAAAAAAAAATCAAGTGCAACTTAGTAATGAAAATTATTTATTAGATGATAGTAACAAAATTTTATGTAATATCACTACTTCATTTATTGATGAAAATAAACTTCAAATTAAAAGAAAACGAGGTCGACCTAAAGTGATAAAAAATAATATTAGTGAAGATAAGTGTTCTTTTTATGTTGATAAAACAGTTGATTGCATTTTAGGTTATCGCAATGGTAAAAATTCTACAGAAGTTTTAGTTTTATTTAGAAATGGTACTAGTAATTGGGTAGAGGAGGGTGATCTTTCAAAAGATTTTACCCTTAAGAATTTTTTTCAAAATCAAAATCAAAATTTTTCAGTTATGAATAGATTACCTTATAAAATTCATGCGACTGGGAACAATAGAATAGAAAAGCAGATTGAAGTAAAAGAGAGACTGGATGTTGAAATAAATAAAAGTATGGATATTGAAATAAAAGAAAAGTGCTTAAATCTGAATATGACACTTAAAAGTCAATATTTAAATTCAGAATCAACTAACTGTATTAATGAAAAAAGTCATATAAATGCTAATATTGATTTTTCTGATTCCATTTATCTAAATGCAATTAATGCACCAAATTTGACAAATAAAACTTTGCATGAACTACAATCTTTGATAATTCCTCCAAATAAAACAAATATTCAAAATAATACATTCGACCAAGTGAGTACACTAGAAAAAGCAATTTCTATTGTTGAACTAAATGATTTGTGCAAACATGTCATATCTTCTGATCATATTAAGCTTTATCCTTATGAACTCAAAAGACCTATTGTTTCAAAGTTTGATGGTGATTTTATGCATATTTATTTAAAACATATACCTATTACACTTCCAGCTGTGTTAAAAGAATTAAATGATGGTTTAGATCTACAATCATGCTCAGTTCTTATAAACTTGTTAGAGGATTGTGAAGTCTCTGAGAAGTGTCAAGTAGTTGTAATTAGCGGCATAGATGAATTTTTTGGTCACACTCGAATATTAGAAAAATTAATTAAAAATCCAGCATCAATTGAATTAAAATCCTACCAAGAAGATGTATCAATGTTACGGTAAGCGGCTTCTTTTTATTCTATTATATGTATAATTAAAAAAAACCTGACTAACTAAAAGTAGCATAATAATGGATGCTTTTCTGATTATATTAGTGTCTTTAATGCAGTTCATTTATTTGTATCTTTCTTATAATTATAATTCATAAATAACATTGTTATTGTTGTTATTGTTACAATAATCCAGGTTGGCATTTAGTAATGCCATTGTAAAAGCAGCCTATCAGGGTTTATTAACATAAAAGTTTCTATGTGCCAAACCTAATATTTATATCTGAGTTGTTTGCATAGTCATTTCATTCAAAAGTTAACAAAAAATTTCTTTTCATATTGTTTATTGTTCTCTGTTTTAAAAGTTATGGTAAATTCTTTCAAAAATAAATATATCTTTCAAACATTTCAAAAACAGATAGTAAATGCCTTTCAAAAATAGATATTGTATATTTTTATTATCCTAAACAAAAAGCACTTTACAACATAGGTTATATTTCAAAGCCTTCAAAAGTATTTTCATTTTACAATTGAGTTTGTTTTATAATTTAATTTAAAATTAGTATATATATATATATATATATATATATATATATATATATATATATATATATATATATATATATATATATATATATATATATATATATATATATTCTTTGATTTAATTCAAATTTAGTGTTTTTATTCTTTTTCTTATATTTTCCTAAAAAATTTGATGCTTTTTATTCTTTTTCTTATAATTTCTTTAAAGTAATTCAAATTTAGCGTTTTTTATTGTTTTTATATTTTCTAAATTGATATTTAATATTTAATATCTAACTTAAATTATCTAAATTAATTCAAGTTTAGTATTTTTTTTGTAATTATTTTAACAGTTAATAGAATCTTAACCCTTTTTGCATAACATTTTTTTAGATTGAACTAAACAATGAATCTAGAAGTATTCTATGGCCAAGCATAATTAATTATAACTAAAAAAATTTAAAAAAAGCTATTTTATGGTAAACAAAATGCAAAATATTTGTTTGTATTTATGATACATCACGCAGCAGTGGAACTTTATGAAGAAGTGATAAGCTAATTGTTTGTTTTAAACAGAGAGATTTTCTTGCAATATGAGCTTGATATATACACTTAATAAACATATTTTGATAAATCAAAATTTTATTGTTAGAACTCTTTAAAACCAAAGTCCAACTTCCTTAAAGACATAGCACAGTGTCATACTTTTCACAAAATGAATGTTAAGGGAAGCACTTAATATATTTTCAACAAGCCTACTTTTCATTTATATAGACTAATGTCAAACTTGATCAGACTAAATCGCT